AGACGGAAGTGTACAGAACTCTATAGAAAAAGCTATGGTTTTCATCATGACTGTTTAAGTATGCGTAGCTTCTTCTAATCACATCTGAAAGCTGTTATCTATCTCTGCTTTATGTTCTGTTGATGGTATTTTCTGCAGTAACATCTAGAGGAAAAAACAGAGTTCTACTAACTCCTGTTTTGTGCCTGTTTTAAATTGTGAGGAAATGTCTCCTGCTGTTAAGAGTCAAGACGTCTGTGACAATCATGATTTCAGGACTTTGTATTTGAGGTTTTAAAGACAGAAACAATCTATGATAAAGTGTGCAAAGTAGTTTATACTAAAGCACGAGAATAATTACTTGTGCTGTCAAAGATGTGTAATTGTGGAGGTATGCTGCAGTGACAGGCTGCTCCAGGCCGTGCATCTCTACTTATGCTGGTTACATTGCTAAGCGTAAAGGCATTTGGCTTTGTGAGCATTTTCTCTGGTATTTAAACCAAAAATTGGGGGTTTTATTTCATCTATCTTGTGACCACCAACAGCACAGCCTTTCTCAGTGTCCTTTAAATTTGTTTAAGACCTTCTTTAGTGGGTGTTTCTTCCAGCATGTGGATTCCCAACTGCATTGTTTTTCTCCAGAGGTGCTGATAATGTCTTTTTTAAAACAAACAAACAAAAAAAACCCCAAACCCCAACCCAACTATGCATATATATGATTAGTAAGGTGTACAGAGTTATTAACAAAGAAAATACAAAATTAGGTATGGTTGCAAGCTGCCTTTTGGCAGAGATTCATAGGCCTGTCTAAAACCTTGCTGTCTGTGGTGTTCCTACCGGATAAATATTTATATCTCAGGTGTCCCCTTTCTTGGCAGTTCCAACAAAGAGGTGACGAATTGTGTAAGCTTTGTAAGCTGCCTTAAAAGTTAAGGAAAGTCTGAAAGCAGACTGAGGGTACCTCCGTGTACTGTGCAGTAGAGTATTGTTTCTAGAAAGGGGCTCTGTTCTGTTTTCATCAGTGTTCCTTTTTTATTTTTTTGACAATTAAACATTGATAGCCTTGTACTCTGCAACTCTGTTTTGAAAATCTACCAAGCCTAAGTACACTTAGTTGCAGGCTTACTTTTAGGCAAAAACACCCATTATCTCTGTGTAGTGGAACTGACCAATATAATGTGACTCTTGCTAAGCCAGGCTTGAAAGTGGGTGAAAAGGAGTACTTTACTTTAATCTTCTATAAAGATGAATTATAGGTTACACTTCTGAGCTATGCTTCTGTTCTTGCATTTTCCTTGTGTATTTATAAAGGTTTTCTCAGACAATGGGATGTGAAACTTGTTTTCTGATCTCTTTTTGAGAATAATATGCATTTAGTTTAGCTATAAGAGTGTGTTTTAGGTTTAGGGTTTTTTTTAATAGAACAGGATGAATACTGCCAACACTGAACAACAAACTGACACAGACTTAAGATCCCCACCCCGCAAGCCATTGGACTTGCAAAAGAATTCCCTTAGAAATGGTAAACACCATTTCTGCTCAATTTTACTGAATTCTTGCTTAGACTGGAAATCATTCCAATGTCCTGCTTTTGCCTCTCTGCTGCCACTCTTTGAATGATGTGTTTTAGACTTAGAAATTGGTCAGAGAAGAATGTTGAATCTGAAACCTCTTAATGTCTTTGGCTGCAGATGGAGTCATTGTTTTTAGAATTTCTGGATTGCAGTTGATCCCTAGGTTTTGATTCAAAAGCGACCACTTACTGGTTTTGGAACTACTTTTAAACCAGTTTCTGTGCAGTCGCAATCTTGACAAAACCAGTGTTCTAGATAATATTAGTTCTGAATGAAAATTAGGCACATTTGTGTGTTAAACATAATCTCCTTGGGCCTGTCACTGGTTAGATTTGCCTTTGTAAATTGTGATATTTCATGTGAATGTAATATCAAATTCCCCTGGAACGTTTTCTTTCCAGGTTATGGCATTAGTGTCATTATTTTTCTTAATATTGCTGATGGATTAATACCCTTGATTATCCACTGTTAGATGCTTATTAGGAGTAAATGCTGTCCCTACAAAGGGCATTACAATGCTAAAGTTTTTAGAACAGACATAGATATATATAGATAGATAGATATATAATATAAAACTTAGACCAAGTCATAGTTGCAGGAGAAGGAGAGAAGGAGGCTTCCAGAGAAAAATCTCCTTTTAGTCACTCTGGTTCTGAATCAGTCACAGTGTACCATCATCATCAGTGATGTTTTTAAGTGTTTTTAAGAATTCCCAGATAATGACTCTAGTGGTTTGCTGGACAAGGTGAAGAAGCCTGTCTGTTTCTTCCAACATCAGCACTAGTCTAATAAAAGATACTGTTTTTTCTTGTGAACCTTGCCTAGCTTGTTCTGTAGCATTTTTTTTTGATGTGATAATATTGCTGATTTGTAACTTCCATTTCTGCTCTCCAGAACACAGCCTACATTTTAATGGCTTGGTTAAAAGCTGAAAATATGAAATACTCTCCTTCATTTATAAATATTTATAGTATATCTAGGCTCCAGTAAGCCACACACTGAATTTTTGACCAGTGTGGCTTTCATTAAGGTTTCCATGGGAATGACAGTACCCCCTGGCTGAATATAAATGAGAGCTGTGCCTATCATTTTGAATCAGCCCTTTCTATTTTATCTAAAACATGGAATATCGGAAGGAACAGAGTTCCACAATGTGTATAATGATTCCTACTGTCATGTTGGGACTTGGTGAAGCCTTGTTGTTTGACTATGTTTAGCCTAGCGATACAGAGTGATGAGAACTGCCAGCTCCTCAGTCGGCTCCACATGAGTCATGGTTTAATGCTGCAGGCCTGTTGTGGGCTGAGGCGTCTGATGGACAGGAAATTCTGAGCTGCCGCCGCTGCAGTCCAGTGACAAAATGAGTACGTCTTTATATCCTGGTCACGTCTATGCATTGGAAAGCGGAGAAAATGGATATTGTTAATAAGCATCCCTTGACTTCCTGAATCGTCTTCCTTCGATGCAATTTGCAAACCAGGGAGTGCAGCTCTGAGCGAGGCTTTAGAATAGCTCCATTTCCCTTTTATGGCTTTATAGAATTTTTCTAAGTAGGTTTGTGGCTGTTGTTTTTTATATGATTACAGCTATACAAGACTACAAAGAACTCATGACATTAGGGAGTTTGGTCTTTTTGGTTCAGTAGAAAGGATGGTAAAACTCTTCAAGTATACTTCTTTTGGAAAAAACAAAACAAATTTAAAAAAACCAAACAGAATACTCCGCCCCCCCCC